TGTATCCTCATGATTTTGAATTTTGATAACATGTTATCTAAGGCACTCAATTTCACAAAGCAGCCATTTAATACTGCCATTCCATCCTCCCTTGATCTTCCCCCAAAGATCTGCTACTATAGAGTGATTAATGTTTCACGAGTGTCTTGCACAATCCTGAAAAAACACTTCTCCAACATAACTGTATTAAATGAAATGAAAAGAATGTATGCTTTATACAAGTCTATCATGTTCTAACATGTTGTGTATGTCTATTTATTTTAGATCCTCATGATTAATCAGAGAATCAGCACAAATGCTGAAAATGAGGTTGCCAGCATCCTTGATCCAGCCGCTCAAGATCACATCCTAGGTAAGATTAGTTTTTATGGTTGAGACTATTTTATCATGTGTTTTTCTACAGTTGTGTTTTGTAAAGCTACTGATCCACTTATTGTTTGCACTCTTAAAATGCTCACCACTAAACCCGCTACAACTGTGGGAAAAAAGGCAGTGAACCCAAACATTACATTGACACTCTTGAATTAGAGGTGCGTTGTACAGTGTCTGTGCCACTGCTGAAAATGGAACAAATGAGCAGATCAGTTTCTGAGCTGGGCAGATGATTGTTGTTACAGTGCAGCAAACTGCCCTAAGCCAGTGTATAATTCAGCCAGAGGAGAGAAAGGCCAGCTAAATGAAATGAGGCAAAAGAAAAATTTATTATTTTGAACTTGGTGAGAAAATGTGTATTTCCCATAGCAAACATTGAAAAGCTGTGCTCATATTATCGGTGACAATAAAAATAAAAATATGAGAAAATTAGTAAATAAAATGTTTTATTATTTGTTTAACTATTATAATTCACATTTATTATTTTGTTATGTTTTTGTTTTGTAAAAGTATTCAATTTAAGATCAATATTTAATACAAACTGAAAGGCAGTTTTCATTGAAAACTAATTGATTAATTTAAAAAAATACGAAAAAGAAAAAAAACCCTGCAGCACTCGAAAATATGCCCAGCTGCAGTGTTGTTTTCTTCCAGCTAAGTATATCAACATATAGTAGTGTAGTAGTATTTTTAACCCTACAATAGATTCTAAAATTCCCCTAAAGGCAAGATTTATACAAAAATCTGCAGCTACATCTTTATTCTCATGGACAAATACAACACCTTCTAAAATGCTGCAGTTTTTCTCGTCTAGTGTTGGCACACTTCTCAATAAAAGGAGGTTTTGGTCATTAGTGATAAGACTATCTTCCCCCTTTGACACCTTCTTGTTGCATTAAGCCAATTTCACATGGTGGAGTTATCAATAAACAGACCTTCCTTCTCAGAGCCTGCAGGCTGTAAACAGAAGTTATAGTGAGCTCGTAAAAACTAGATTATGTCCAGTTGTTGTTGCCTTTGGGTAGAATTACTGTGGACCCGGTTATAGTTTGGTTATAGAGGGCACTTTGAACTGCCAGCCGTGGCATTCAATTATACAGCTTTGTAATCTATGGCCCACTACTGCCGCTCCCTTCCTCCGACATGAAATGAGTTTGTCAAAGTATCTATTTGTCAACAATTTTATGCAAGTTTTTTGGTCTTTTAGTTTTGAAACTTTATGTGTAAAAAGCATTTATAATGCATTCATTCTATTTCTGGAGAAAATTATGGAAAATCACATGAACTATTATCTTTAACTGTGATTAACTATTTTGATTGCTTCCTTTACATTTAATAATATATAACTATTTGATAGTTTTATGCTGAGATCAAGGATGTTTTATTAAAACAGAAACTTAATTCATGATATTAGCGTCAGGTGAAAATACTGAATTTGGAAGAAGGTTTAGTCAATTTTGGGACTTAAAAATAATAATAAATATTATTATTATTGTTGTTATAACAATTATTAATTGACCCCAGGACACTCTGCTCTTTGCTTGCCACACAGGCTTACTAACCGCTACACTATGAAACTACTAGTCAAGTAAATCAAGGTTCAAAATAATTCCCCCATCACGGAAAATATTAAACAACACGTGTTGCCCGCACATTTCGAGCCCTGCTAACTGTCGGTCATGAACCTTTACAGCCGTACAGCTGTAGCCAGAGCTGTGCTGATGAGCTCTCCATCTGTTCCAGGCTTTAGGCGTCTGCCTGTATTTTCAGACAGTGTTTCCCTTCTCTTTAACGCCACACTCCTCTCCCTCTCACCCTAGGCTCTGGTTGTCAGATGCGAACTCTGGACAGTGGGATCGGCACATTCCCGCTCCCTGATTCCATCACTCGTGCCAGCGGTCGATACATCCCTAAATCGGAATCAGGACAATCTGACGGGGTTACGCCGAGCTCCTCTGAACTTGAGTCGGACACACTCTCTCGATCAGATCCCTGTTATCCTCATTCCCTCCAGAAAACTGATCAGCATACTGCCGCTAGTGTGACTCTTTCTGATTCCAACGTGACCTACAGACGCACCAGCCAGAGCTGCTTGTCCAAATTAGCAACTACAGGTACTTTGTTCTGCAACTGTGGAGTTCTTCGACTGTTTCTTTTTATGTGGCTTATTCTAAGAGATTTATTCTATTTTTATCACCTCAGCATATTTTGCATGCGTGCTGACTTAATGCAGACAATTTGCTTTTCTGCAAACATAGACAAATACAGTGAAGTTTGTGTCAGTAAAAGTTAGTCAGTGCCCAGATTCCTTAATGTAAAGTCAACACTGTTTCACTCAAGGCTTACAAACAGAGAGAGTCACTTGGTTTTTATCATTATGTTTCTATGATGGTGTTTGTGTGTTAGGTCAGCACTGGTTTCAGTAGGACAGTAATCTATGTGTCCTTATTGAAATGCACACACTGATGTCACAAAACCAAACAAACAAAAGCAAGAAGTACGCAAGTTAGCAATGCAAACACAATAAAAGTTAATAACAGGAAATAAGAAAGTGTCACATGGCTGTTCTCCACAGAAATGCATATCCATTTATGAATCATTAAATGCTAAACAGATTTTATATAAGACTAAACTCAAATGAAATTTTGTCTACACAAAGCACTTTTTCTTTTGTTCAAACATCTGGCAATTTGTGAAAATAACAGAAAGCTTCTGTTATGAAATGGTATTTCTACTTCATTTATGTAGTAATTTTACCTACTGGAATACTACTTACAATAGTATAATGTATTTTGCAGTCTCTAAAGCCATGATGTCATTGAATTGAAGCAGAGTTCTAGTTCAGACCACAGAAGCTGGTCATCAGAGGTGTTACTGTAGCAGATCTTGTTGCTAGGATCATGTGTGTAAACCTAGTTGACATTAGGTCTGATACTGCTGCTCTGTTTGTACAGAATATGCAGACATTACCGTGATGTTGTCGTACTGCTGATGTGTTCAGCCTGCATTCCCCCACGTCACATCTGTGTTTTGGAGCGGTTTAGTGGTGAATAGAGAAAGATCCATCTTGGACATTTAATCTACAACACAGTCATTCTCTGCTGCTTTTCCTCCTTTAACTTCCAGATGATGTCAGGAAAAAGAGATTAAGGCTTTGTGCTCCACGGGACATCATCTCTTCTGAAGACAAGGAAACAGAAACCGAGAGGAAGATAATAACCGAGGAATTTGATTCTACTGCTGTACGTTTTTTTTTTTGTTTTTTTTTTACGACAAAAACTATCAAACATCTTCAAACCATTTTTATGGAAGCGTATTGCTGCCATACTGAGAAAAAAAAAGTAACTATGTGAAACTTATCACATAATTACGTGATACTGAACCCCTTTTTTTTCTCAGTGTGGCAGCAATACACTTCTGTACATTTTCATCACTTTTGTTTTTTAGAAAATGCTTTCTGACCTTGAATGTTTGACTTGAAGCAGGAAAGAACCGGACAGGTGAGCACGTACTCAGGGAGCAGCAGCGACGCCATGTCTGAAATAGGAGGACCCAGAAGTACGTTAAGGTCAAGGACAGGGACAGTGATCAACGACAGGAAGACGAGCAACTCAGGTGTGGTTAAAAGATATGTGAAATAATTATATACAACATAAACAACATCAATAATTTACACAACACATTTGTCGTTTTGCTTTTAACTATGTACATGGGGTCCTCGGTTTACGACCTTCTCGGCTTACTGCGTTTTGTGGTTACGCCACCATCTCCCGTAAATGTATTAATAGAGTCTGGTCCCATTGTTCCGACGTACAGCATTAAAACTCGTCAACTAGTTCGCACGGAAACTAGTTGATGAGCAGAGTGAATGAATACATTGTCACGTGGCATTATATGCGGCAGACAGCCTTGTCTACATTCACCAGTTGTGCGTCACACATAGAATTGTGCTGGATTTGCTTTCTTTATTTCTTCTTTATTTGTGTTGTTTTTTTTGAGAACGAACTGCCCTTCATTATGGCTCCCCAGAGTAAGTCAGACTCTTCTGATTTTTTTTATATCCTAGATTATAATGTCACCACTGTGTTAGCGTAGGTGAGTGACATAGGTGCTAGTGTACAGTATGTGAGGTTCAACTTATGGTGATAATCGAGTTACGTCACACCGTAGGAACAAACTCCATCGTGAGTCGAAGACCCTGTGTATACTGTTAGAATTTATCAAATTACTAGCTAGTGACCACTGTTGACTCAATAATGCTATAACGATTTGTAACACTATGTGTTCTCTGATGCTTGTATTTATTTAGCTGACCACAATGAAGAGACACTGAAGAGGAGAAGTTTGGGGACGTCTTTGTGCATCATAGATTACTACCAACATGATAGGCCCACACACTTGAAGCTGGATGGCCCGAGAATTTCACAGTATAATTTGTTGCAAAACGAGTCACCCATGGATGGCTACACAGAAAAGAAACTCAGTGTAAGTATAGAAAAGTGTGATGAAAACTTTGACCTCTTGTTTTAGAAAGTTGGTAACATTGAAATGTTACCTGCAGTGTGCTGTATGTTATAAAATCTGGTCAAGCTGCAGTGTTTATGTTACTTTACAGCACTCAACTGTGCTGTAAAGTAACAAGGTTTAATTTTGTAGCCTTTGATTATAACATTGATTTACATAACGTCTTTGGTAGCATGTAGCAAAAAAGGCTACACTGCCGTAGTCCTTTAACAACAGTTGGGAGTTAATCCTCATCATGTTCATATGTCACTTCAGTATTAGCTCAACTATGATTCCAGTTTTCTTATTTATTATTTTCTCTCTGAGTTGATATTAATTTTTCACACTTTTTTACGGCCGGCTGTAATGATCGATTGGAGCTGTTGAACCTATTTGCCCTTCATTAGTTATAGAAAAAGAAAATCCATACAAGTGTTCCCACCTTGTCAACGCTCACAATACATGTTTGTACCAGTGTTTATGTGTGAACACCATCTTTCAGTCACAACTTGGCTCACGGGACGTTGACGTTGGTCGCAGTTGGGCAGGTTTTTTGTGAGCTGGTGTTTGAGCCCAGTGATTTAAGGGCTTTTAATAACCTTTCACAAAGACTCAGAAGAGTGATGTGAAGCTCAGCCGCTCCCATCAGAGCCCTCACAGTCAGTGCTGGCCTCCCATTCATCATCCTGACAGCACCTGACAGCCCTGCTAAGGGCAGCCCCCACTCTTATGCTCCTACCCCATCCTTCCTCTGAATCTCTCCCTTTCGCTCACGTGTCTTCTTCACTCTCTTTCTCTTGTTGATCTTTTCCTTTATTCTTTGCTCACGTGTCTTCTTCCCTCTCTTTCACTTTTGCCCTTTCCATGTCAGTCTCTTGTTGATCTTTTCCTTTATTCTTCATAGTTTGCTTCTGTCCTTTCACAAAATGTTCTTTTATCTTCCCTTTTTAAGAATCAGTTGTTAATATAAGACAGTGAATACCTGTAGCCAGGTTCTTTTTAAATTCATTTTTAATATGATTTCCTTTTATGCATTAATTTACATAATGGATGATTGAATAGATTTAACTCAGAATGTTTGATTTACAAACTTCTTCTGTACTTCTTCCCACAGATTTATATTTTGATTAGCTAGAATCAAAACACCAACACGTCAACATTTAATCACTGCATTGCAGGCATATAAAGCTATAGTACTGATACACTCATCTTTAGGTATGCATGGTTGTTGTGTGGGGTGGTCCTGGTTCAGAGCTTAGATTGGAATATACTCTGCACAGAAAACTGCAAAGAGTCCAAGTTTGAAGCTTCCCCAGAGGCTACTCATATCCTGAAGCTCAAAGTCAGTAAACATACCTCCGCAAACAAACCTACAGAGATTTGCTGATGTGTAAAAGCAGACACTTTGGAAGCATTTTTTATATTGTTTGTCACAGTAACTAGCTCCCAAAGGAACTGTTGAGGAACACAAAAGTAAAATACTCTATAGATTTGGCAAACCGTGAACAACAAGTAACTATTTTAAGGTGTATGGGTTTTTTTATGAACTATGACATAGCAGCATGTACTAGATGGTTAAAGCAGGAAGCAAAACAACTGATGACATTTATCTGCTTAAAAAAAGATAATAAGAAAAATGAACTGTAAAGCACAATTAATGTCAAATAAAACAAGTGAGAACTAAGACAAGACATGATTAGATGCTTGTCTGCCAACACTGAGGATATAAACTTAGACCATGACTGTGAAGAACATTTCATGGCAAACCCTTGTCAGGATCTTAGGAGCTATCAGCAAGTCTGTAAACAGGACCACTAACAAAGAACTATGTCAAACGTACATGATAGAACAGTATGGCTAATATGGAGGATTATTGTTAAACTTGATTACATGTAATGAACTAATTAAATGCTGTTTTCTTTTATTCTTTCAGAAAGAACCTCCCCTGGTGAAGATGCCAATGGAGGTGAACCAACAAGACTTCCCCGTGAAGTCCCTTAACTAGCTAGATCTAAGTGGATCCAGCAATGGCCATAGTACCTTCAAATAACTTGTTATTGTGACATAGCAAAAAGCACAAAGAGGCTGCTGTAAAAAAAATGTTATGTCCACCTCCAACTTCTCCAGAGGGTCTCAGGGTGATGTAGTCGTCTCCTGGACTATTTCCTGTACAACAGTTTTTTCCTCTGGCACGAGTCGGGGTTCCACCATCATGCAGGGGCAAGGTCAAATATTCAAGGCGGTGGTGGAGATCCCTGATGGGAGAGAAAATCCAAATAGGATTCTTATGCCATAGCCATAGCCATAAGTTGTATCATGTGCCAAAAATCAGTCAATTTTCTGCTAATTTGTCTTGAAAACAGACTGCAATGTTTTTTTAACAATGGAGAGTCATTGTTTGTATGTAAATTAAGCACTTAGTTGACCTGGGAACATCAACTCAGACGACAGCAATTAAATAAAATGACTCTCTGTGTTTTGGACTGAGTAACATTGCACAGTGTTCCTGAAGAAGCTTCTTGGATAAGAGGTGAAACACCCTTCAGAAACCAAGCCAGTCCAGGTGCCTACTTTTCAAACCACGTCTGACCAGGTCAAAGCGAATGATAATAAAACTGGTATAATGGTGTAATATAATAATATATTTATTCAGGAAAACCTTATTTACTGTTTATTTCAAGAGGGTCTTGGTCCTGTATTAAATTTAATGATGTGAAATATGTTGGGAAATGAGCTCTCGCCGTGTGGTAGGTATATATTGCAAAGGAGCGAAGCACACATATAGCAAATGACCAACGTTTCTGCCCAAATCCATCCACTGCCGTAGCTCAGGGAATATATTTATACTCCTACAATCTGTACTAACTCACCATACAACCATCAGGAAAGTGTGAAACTTAATAGCGCTCTGTCATTTTTTTACTATATTTCTATGTGAAAAGTAGCAGGGTAAACTGCAACTCTCTGAACCTCAATTTGCTCCATATGTTAGTTTATATTGACTTTTAATAAAGAATAACTCAGATAACTAACTTAATATTACAGCAGGCGTTGCAGATAATTATAATTTAACAGCAGGCAAAAATAATATATATGTTTTTCCAGGTAACATTTTAATCTTCTACACATCAGGGCTAGTCTCTTATGAAGTGATATATAAATATATTTCTGTTTTCGCTCTTTTTTCATTTTGAGTGCAGAGGTCACATTAACATGTTCTTACTTTTTTTTTTTTTTAATTTAGGCAGAAATGATACCATATTCTTGTCTTGAATGTGACCGGCTGCTGCAGTGTTTAGAGCCAATCTTGTGTTCAAATGTTTGTCTATAAAACTGTTAATATTGTACAGGGAGACACTGAAAATACTTTGTGTAATAATACCTACATTTTTACACCCTCAGGCAGTATTTTGACTGTTAAGCTGTTTAAATCGTTCCCTAAATGTTTCTGTTTCGAGCAAATCTAGCCAGCAGTGTTTGTTTTTTATTTTTTGATAATATTATTGTATGTATAATGTATGTAATTTAATGAAAGGTCTAATTAATTGCATTTTGCTTCATAATTAATAAAAATGAGATGCTATTTTCAATTTTTGGAAGACATGAGTCTGCGAATGTGTGTTTATTAGGTCAGTGTTTTGGTGGTTTGCATGTTAGGCTGAATGATATAGTTTAAAGTAAAACAAAGGAGGTTTGAGTTTAGGTAGCAGAGGAGAGAGGGAGGGAAGGGGGAATTGAAAGACAGAGAGATGACGTGAAAGAGATTTGATTCTGATGAAGACCTTAAGCGGCCTTGGCAGACGTTCTCACCTGCTTGTTTTTTCTCCAGATACAAAACAGAATTCTTTCTAACCTCAAGGGTGTTGTGTGTGTAATCATGGCTTCCCACTCACAATCTGACAGCAGAACATTAGGCTCAGATAGGTGACAGCTGGATCCAAGAGTCTGTTCATCACCGTGGGATTGTGCGCCACATGTCCCATGATGCTCAATTAACGGATGTTATTGGTTTAGGCATGCTTGAATGGTTTTTTTCTCTTTCAAGGTCTATACATTGTGGAATTTGAAAAATGAAAAACGGATAGATAGATGGCCGACGCGTATATCGACAGGAGTCAGATGCTTCCCCTCTTTCAGGGGTCACTGCAGCGGATCATCTGCCTCCAGCACAACCTATCCCCTGACTCCTCTTCCTTTACACCACATCCATAAATCTTCTCTGATGGTGCCCTCTTCTCATCTTGACCTCTTGGTAACTGAAATTCCAACATCTTTTCTCCTGTATCTTTAACACATCTCCAAACCATCTCAACCTCCCAGCTCTAAAGTTATCTCCAAAAGGCTAATCCTTAGCTGTTCCTCTGACCATCCTCTGTTCATGTCTAATATTTCCCGGTCTCTCCCAGAGAGAATCTCAGCATCTTCATTTCTGCCTCCTCCAGTTCAGTCTCTTGTCTATCTCTATTTGACAAAGACACTGTCTCTAAACCAGACATTATACAGTAGCAGGTCTCACTACTGTCCTATAAACCCTGGATCAGATTGGATTTAAAAATATGGTTAGGACTGGTTGTAAACTACATACGTCAGTGATAAGTGATTTATCTTATCTTATAAGTTAGGACTGTTAAAGTTAACGTGTTAATTACATCAATTAATTTGTGAAGGCGCGTGAACAGAATGACGTGCATTGTATAATTTCAATAATTATAATTTTAGCTTTAATACATAGTTGATACACGCGTTATTATTTGCTTGCACTGCTGGAGCTTAAAATAAAAAAAATTCCGGCCGAGGTGGCAACTTCCGGTCAGATACGTCAAACCAGCATCGCGGAGCAGAGCAGCGACATTCTGACTGACACATGTTGTTACAGACAACAAGTTCACTGAAGTTTTGAAAAAAACTTTTAGCAAATTCTACAAGACCCTGTTGAGACGCACCAACTCCACGAAATGAAATTCTACATAATTATTACATAATATTGGTATTTTTTTCCATTACACTTTTCTATTTTTTTTACACGTTTCAATATTAACGCTATCGTTTGGATAAACCTCACATAAAAACGTGTGAAACACGTAAATGTACTTGCTGTTAACTGTTGTCTGTTGTCTTTCTCTCCCTGTAGTTTACTGTCCAGCACCATAGGGTTAAGAATGTGGTCATTTACAGTCTCTATCCTGTCCCTACACTTTAAACAGAACTGTAAACTTTAAACTGTAGATTTATATGACTTCTACCCAATAAACTAATGTCTCAGAAAAGTTTCACACTATATTTTAAACAAATTATACAACTGTGTTGTTTTAACAGACAAATAATGGAGAACCATTATTTGTAAAAGAAGGAGTTTTTTGTTTTCCTAAGTTGTATTTTAGTTTTGTCTTACATGGTGTTTTAGACTATTTCCCCCCTTTTTTCCTTTCTTTTTCTTTTTCTTTTTTCTTTTCTTTTCTTTTTTTTCTGAAAAGGATGCTCTACATTTCAATTCATTTCCTCCTGATGTCAACTATTAAGGATTACTAAATGACAATCAAATATGGAAAAACGACAATCTAGGCCAAATTGACTAATAGTTCCTTAAAATGTGACCATGTCAAAATCCCTGTGATAAATTAGTTGACATTTGACAGTGATGTCACGTCTATGGTTGGTTTAAAAAGTCCCGAGAACCTAATCCATCATGGACTGTAGAAACAGGAAACTCTTCAGAACACTTGTTTTTTCAGCTGATAAAGTTGAAAATATTATTCAAACACACACTCACACACATTCAACCACACACTCACACACACATACTGATGAGTAATAATAACATAGCAAATACAAATAACGGATATAAGCAAAAACTTACCCAAACAAATGTTTAATTTACATTAAATGAATTCACGACACCCACGTCCGTCACAGACCACGAAACACATTTGTCCTTTCTTCTAAACAATCCGATTTCAATGAGAGAACTTCGTCCACGCGCTCTGGACGTCACGTGGTTCTCGGTGTGAGCCCACGGTTTGTCTCCTGTTGCCAGTGAATGCCTCTCACTCTGTTGTTTACCGGTCACACGGCGGGGGTGATGTGCGGATTCTTGTGTGCGGTTCTTTCTGCCCTGTTCGCATGTTCAGAGAAGTTGTCCTGCTCCAATGTTTCTACCCACGTCGTCTGGGAGAGAATGCGTCTTCTCTTTCTGGCCACTTTCTTCGGAGTCCTCCTGGACGCAGGTGAGTGGAGTCCAGTCACTCGGTGTGTGACGGCGCGGTTCCGAGCTCACGTCCTCGGGCAATTTAATTTGACTAATGGCGCAACGGACCGGTTCAGTATCACGGCAAACCTGTTGAAATAGTGATTCCGTGAGGATATGATAAGATGCGTCGGACATAATTAAAACAGAATTGATGCCTGTAGATTTTATTTTATTTTTTATTTTTTTGTGGAGAAGTGATATACGCATCTGGATTAGCATTTGATTAATGAGATCATGTCAAGGATTCCACCAAATTTAGTTAAAAAAATTACTCGCACGTTCATTTCAGGTATGTATTGTACTTTAAAGTTGTTCTCCTGCGGTCGTGTTGTTGCGTGCGGACCTTTATCTGTCCAACTACAGCTGCCGCAGCTCAGATTAATGATCGGTGCCATTTCAATAATTACGGCAGTAGTGTCTGTCAGCCGGGATAGATGGCCAAGAGTGAGGCTCAGTGTAGTGTTTGTTCTCCAAGATGTAAGTCAAGCTGACAGGTGTAGCAAACCTCACAACTCATTTCCTTTTAGTGGCAAAATGTGGGAAATGCATTTATTATCACAACAACAATCAGTCAGACAACTAAACGAATTGCTTACTCTCTAATAATGACATTTTTTAAGGCTTCCACTCCCACTGCAGTTTTTTGTGGCAATATAAACGACGAACACTGAGATGAGTCAGGTTTTTATGCACTAAAAACCTCATGAATAGAAGTGTAGTTTATCTGATAAAGTCTGATGCGAATGCTTCCATTTTATATATTTATTTTTTTATGAGAAGATATCGCAGCTGTCATGCCGCCTCTTTACCAGCTCAGGGAATACCTGCAAGGCAATTTGTGTTGAAAAATAATTTTGTAGAAACCTATAAGATAATAAGCATTACTTCAAGACAGCATGTCTGCTGTGTTGTTGAGAAGAAAATAAATCTCGACAAACTTGTGTGAAAAAAAAAACAATTTTTTTTTTAAAATAATTTTGAAAGCATACTTCTTCTGTTAATTTAAATGAAGCAAAAATGTGTAGAAATGCTTCCTAACAAAAAAGAGCAACCTGGTTAATTTTCCATTGTCTCTTCGGTGTTAAAGCATTTAAGTCTATCCCGAGATGAGACCACGCCCCAATGTTTTGTGCAATGCTTTTGTTTAACAAAAGGATTACAATTTAATTTAAGAAATGTTCTGCTGTTTTCATACTTAAGGCTTATCTGGCAGTGTAGAATGGTGCCTTAAAGGAACAATTAGACGAGGGTCAGTCTTATCCCCTATTTCGTTCTTCCTTTATTTGTGTAGCTGTCAGTACACGGCACCCAACAGATAATATTAATATAGATAATAACAAAGAATATGATCATGTTCTTAATCATAACCATAAATGTCCCAGCCTGCCTGACTCAAATAAATAATAAGGGAAAATACCAATGTAGAGAGTTTATACCACTTTTTTGTTTTCATGTATGTACACCACTGAAGATTACTGCAGATTAAGCGTAGCAGCATTACTCATTTTGAAATATACTTTTCCTCTACCATTATTATTTTGGGATGTTATTTTTTTTAAAACGTGTCTTGTCTTTTCGTGTGGTGCAGGAAACGCCCTTCAGATCCAGTGTTACCAGTGTGACGTGAAGCACAACGACTGCTCCACCCCTGAGTATGTTGTCAACTGCACCGTCAACGTGCAGGATATGTGCCAGAAGGAGGTACTGGTCAAGCCTGATGGTGAGTTTCCTGTGATGTGATGTTTCTGTCAGGTATTATGGCACATTGTAAAGGCCGTGAATTCTTGTTTGCTTTGAGCTTTTTAAAAATGAGCAGAGTTCAGGTCAGAGCACACGCTAACATTTATCCTGATATCATGATAATAAAAAAACAAAAGAAAAGCACAGTGAATTTATCAAAGTGTAATTTTGTTTATCATTCAAATGAACAACAATTATTGCTGAAGTAACTATATTCAATAATAATTTAATTGTAATTTGTTGCCATAATGTCATGTTTAGATGTTGTAATAAAGATCTTTATCTTTATTTGCTCTGAATGAAGTAGAATTTTAACACAGCGTATCCTTGGTGAAGACATGGACTCCTTCCATTTTTGATGGAATCCAGGCTAGATTGAATGTCGATGCGGCAAATGCATGCGGACTCGTCAGCCGAACGAAAATAGAAAGTCTGTGTTTATATTTCATCTTCTGCAGTGGAAGGGTGACCATGTGGAAAGTGAAGACAGAGTAACGCCCCTAAATTTCTTTGACCTTTGAGCATTCCATTCAGCTGCTTTGCCTTTCCTACAGGCCTCTTCAGTATTATTAGGTATTATTAGGTCATAGACACAGTTACTGCTCCTATAACAATGTCTTAAGATAGCAATGCAAATAATAATAATTTAACATGCTGCTAATTAGATGTCAAGTGTGCAGGACCAGTACAATCATCACATGATTTACTATAAATATCAAGTCCATGTACAATTATATTAGACACTTGTTATTATTAACTTATTAATAATTTATAAATAATTATTAATTCATATTTACAAAAATATAATTTTACAACAAATATTCTGAACATGAGGTGTTTTTTCTTTTCAAAATTCATGAAGCAGACTCGACTTAACACCCTGGCGGGCCATTTTTGGCCCACAAACCATATGTTTGACACCCCTGGGGCCATGGTGGGGCCATGGGAGCCAGACACAGACAGGTATCGCTGTCTGTTGGTAAAGAGAATTCAGGTCAGGTTGTATTAGTGATATGAGCTTGAAAGTAAAGTCAAGAATGAAAGAATGAAGTCACGCTGTAGACATGCTGACTGCACACCAAACACACATCAGTAAGCAGGCGAAACAGTTGCTGGATGCATCGTTTTATCTTTGTCTTTGCAAGTCAGACACCTGCAACAGCAGCCTTGAAATGATGTCCTTGACATCAGTCAACAGGAAGACAGAGTAGCACAGTAAAAAGTGGTGGTGCTCATGCACCACAGACACAAAGGCTTACTTTGGCACTTTTTCTTTCTTCATCAATAAAGTAGAATCCCTACATACGTATGGGAAACATCCTGCCGCAGCTGAACTACTTCTAAAACTTTCTTGCCCACTCAAAGAAATTTCAGTGTTACAGACAAAATATGATAAAGATGCTACTTACAATCTCACTCACCAAATGACATGAAATATATCTATTGTTATAACATAGCTGCACAGGTCAGTGGAAAGGCTCACTTAAAAACAGCTCTAGAGTGCAATAAAAAAATGTAGTGCACCACAGAATAGGACTTTGTTTTTCTTTATCTGAGCATTAATTTAAGTTACACATAACTTAATGACAAACGTAAGTCAATAAACGCAGACGGAAGGTCAGTAACACGAAAGCCTAATGGAGCAATAAAAAGCTGCAAGATTGCAAAACGCAGGGCCTTATATATATTACATCACGATGTAATTACTTCGGGGGAAATTGTATTCAGTCAGAGAAACATAATATATTTTTTAACTATGATCGGTCATCACGCCCTTACGTCGGGATGACAGGATACTCTCATCAGCTTATTCTTTCCTTTGGCAGGAGTCCATTATCGAAAGTCCTGCGCCTCCTCTGGAGCTTGCCTCATTGCGTCCTCTGGCTATCAGCAGTTCTGCACAGGCAGGCTGAACTCAGTCTGCATCACCTGCTGCAACACACCGCTCTGCAACGGCCTGAAAAAGAAGCGCCCTGCCTTCTCTTCATCGCCGTCACTGTTCCAAAAATTGAACAATAGTCTTCATTTTCTCATGACCACTTCCCTGCTTCCCATGATGCTTTTGACCTGAACGCAGACCATTCAGTATATGCCCAATTTTGTAATAGTTGGTATTGAACCTGTTCTAGTTCTATGTTTTCTGTCTGATCAGACTATTGTAGAGCAGCCGTCCCCAACCTTTTTTTTGGTCGGCCAGTATCAGCTACGTTACTGCGGACCGGTAATACCGTGCCATCGTTGAAGGATCGAACATTTTAGACTTTATTCTGTTAGTATCAGGGTCAGAATGATCTGTTGTTTTGAAACATTGTCAGATTATCTTTGAATGAAAAAAGTAAAGGGATATGACCTGGTACCAAATGACCTATGGACCAGCACCGGTCCATGGACCAGGAGTTGGTGACCCCAGTTGTAGAGAACCTATTGCAAATCCAATCCAAACTAGAACCATAGTATAGTTTCAACTCTGTGTACTTGATGCTAAGCTAACAGCCTGGTAACACTCTCTATACAGTATTAATTAAGCGCTGCATCTTTCTGATAGACATTTTGGAGATCCATAAAGAAACTGCTTTAATAAAATGTCTCTCTGTTCATCAAAGGGAGGATTAGATATGCAACAGACACTTCAAATCTCACAGGGACCCACAAGAAATCGAAATTTCACACAAAAGTTCATATTTCTGGACATATGGTCCTAGGTTCGCGGTATAAGGAACAGTTTAAACATTACATCAACAGACGTGTATCGCTGGGTATTTACAATATTTTCTTGTTTTTCCTTGTTTTTTTTAAAGTATCCACTGATTACTTTAAATGTGTTTGCCACAGATTTGTTCTGGGTCTGGAATCTTTGAACATTGTTGTGAAATACGTGACAGTACACAGAAACCATCGTGGCTTTTTACCTTCTCTGCATGATTCAAAGCCCATGTATCTAAGCTATCAACAACGCTGCCACAGGCAATGACACTGCAGAAGTTGAGACGAGAAACAAGCCGGGCTTTATCTATCCTCCACTGCTGGAGGAAGACTGGAAGACCTTTCTGCCTCCGAGGCATCTATTACCTATGACTTATAAATACTGTGAAGGTTTTATGGATGTTACAGGGTATAAAAAGTACTGATGGAAAATATTGTAGAGGTCACTATTTTGGGGCTTTTATACGGGTCTGACATTGACGTTGTTGCCGTTACTTAAACTCCATGATATTTGTACTTGATGAATAGAACAAATGTACTGACAATGTTTACATTGAGCTTTGAGACATATTATCATTGTACTATATATTCCCGCTGACATACTCCTAGTAGTTTTTACATATTTCATAGGATACAGCTGCAGCCCCTTTTCCTTTTTAACACATTCTGAGAAAAGAAAACCCAAATGTGTGTGGCTTGTACTCCATCACTGCTGATATAGATAAACATGGAGAGAGATTTAGGTTTATTTATTCCTGAAGATATAAAGCAAATTAAAATCAAGTGTTTTTTTCACACTCAACATTTAATAATTAAATATTACAATTATAAATGTATTAAAGTACAATATAAAAAATAAATTGGACAGTGATAATTAGATCAGTTGTCCTCGGCACGTGTAACTTTACCCTTCGATGTGCAGTTTTTACACATTACTTAGTGACATTAGCTCCACTTTGCTCACCTTTACTGAAGATCACACACAGCCCACCTTTGACACTTCTATTGAGGTTCATGCGTGGTCATGCTCTCAGTGCTGACTGCACACAGGTCCTCCGTGGGGCCCGTTGTCAAATGTACCCCTGCCATCCTTTTATCCAAGCAGCTGGATCAAGTACATGGGCTTTTAGAGCAGCCAGGTGTAGGTGAGACCCCCGTTGGCCAACTGTGCTCATGTACTTTGTCTTCATATTTTCTCACCGTTGATCGAGCACATTCTCGCAGAAGTCGATGTTGTAGGATGTGACTGTGGCTGGTTTAGCCGTTTCTCTACAGCCACAGCTGTCAGGCCATCTTTGATTTTCTCACACATGACATATGGGCTTGAGAATATTAACCAAACTACTGTTTTTGACATGTTTTTTTTTAAATACTTCAAAGAGCAAGAAAATGGTTGATATAACTAGAAATTGTACTTTTGACTGTTTCCCACATTTAACATATTTGCCTTTGAAAACACAAAGGTCTTCACATTTTTCATTTGCATTTTCAAATAACAATTTAACCAAACACATTTTAAGATATAGCTTTATTTATGTGTCCTGCGGTGATTTATTTTTTAAATATTTGTTTAGAAACTAAAAATGATTGATCGTAATAAATATATATATATATATACTGGGAAATAACTGGGTTTCCGTGGTAGCAAACAAGCATATTTTTGTGTTAAGGCACTGATGGATGATGTGATAAATAATTATGGGGTTTTGCTGTACAGACTGGGAATGTTGTGCTGGAATGTGATGGAAATAAATGTTGAGTAAATGAAAATTTGAAGTGTTGTGAATGGATGGATTTTATGTTTTCAATCTGTAGCAAGAGCAAGAGAGAGAGAGAGAGAGAGGTTCCTGCAAAAAGCTCATTCAACTTGTTCCCCTGAAAAATGTCCATTAACATGCAGTTAAACTGCACTACAGCCAGGTTAGCTTTTTGACATTCACACACTGTAAAGCTGACTTTATGTCACTGATCCATCAGGGTGGGTTGTAATGATTACAACACCATAACATTCTGTTAAATATACACTTGTCAAACATTTGTTAAAACATGATCAGCATGTTTAACTAGTCTGTAACAGTTGCTGGACATCATTTTGATCACTATAGTTTCTCACAAGATAAATTAAAGATTAAAAATCTTTTTAAGTACTAATAGTTTGTTTGCATATCATTTTAAATTGTTTGTTTGTGTTTAACATGCACATGTATCATCAGCTTGACCAAATCAACATGTATCAGGTTTTCATTGGTCTTTTATTGCCTTGGGAAAACAACATGAGCAGAACCATTTTAATAACAGCTAATAGTGCTGTGGCTGCCTCTGACAATCTGCTGCTTTGTTTGTGCCTAATGTACTGCCATGATTATGAATAACTGTCCAATGTATGTTATGTCATTAAGAAGAAAAAAAAAGGGTGTGTGTGTGTGTGTTTGTCGTGCAGCAGAATAACATCCAGCAGCAGTGTTGAGGGTGCCAGAATGACAGAGCATCATTAAGGCCACAAACAGAGTAGGAGGAGGTCTCGACTCTAACTCTCCCAAGGTTAAGAAACTGCAAAAACAGGAGATTATTAAAAATAATAAGGCCCAGCCCTGTCTCTCACTAATGATGTGAATATGTGTGCTCTCTGTCACTTGTGTTGGAACTGCAGCAGATCACTCATCTGCTGCAGCTCAAGTCAGTAACTTCCTCTCAGGTCAAGGGAATTAGTGTAGTAGTTTGGTTGTTTGGGGCTTCATTCATTCAGTCATTGATTATTAGATGAAGATTTTCTGGACTTTTCTTAATTTGCACTTTTTTGTTACTTTTATATTTAAGCAGAAATGAACAGTATTACTGTATACTGCATATACTGCAACAAAATCAAAAATTAGTTGGATGTATGGCTGACCAGTAACATCAACCAGGTACAGGTATTTTTATATAGAGAGCGCAGACAGAAGCTGAAAGAAAAACTGCTTAGTTGTCTCAGGCCATACCTTGACCAGACAACAGCTCTAATGCATCAGCAAGGTCTGTTTGAAACACATATTTCAAAGTCAACTAAGGTTTCAATTTGTGCTTTAACAGCTTTTTGAAGAAGGACAAAGTAATAAGAAACACTGAGAGCTGAAGATACAGTTTTTAGACAGGGAAACTAAATATAGCAGACAAAGGAAGATGACGATGAAGAGCATTATTTATTTACTGCAAACAATTTATCGTCCTATGTCAACGCAACAATGACAGGCAAAACAATTACGTAATGTTCCACTAGGCGGCAGCAGATGGCTATAAAAACAAAAACATGAAGCTCATTGTATTTTAGTACATGCACTTTATGGCGTGTCGTCTTGATATTTTCCATCTGTAAAACATATGCTGTGGGTCAAGATGGTTGTAATACTTACAAGATGGACGCAAGGATGAGGAATTCAACCATATATGAAAATGTACTACACAGAAGAACTGGAATGCAGTAAAATAGCAGTAAGTTACAATTTATTCTCTGTATCACGCAGTTTTTGTTTCAACATAAACTGTTAGGTAGTAATTAGTTATTCTTTTGAGTTTTGTGTAAATAATTGTCTCCTAAGTTTGTAAAACTTTGTGCCCTTGTTCAATGTTCTTGTGACCAATGCTAACAGGCTAACTTGGTTAACACGTCTGCAGTATCAATCACCATTATCGCAGGTGAATATTGCATTTATATCAATACAGTTTAAAAAACTGTCTCTTTAAAGAGAATTACTTAAAGTAGTTACAGTGGAGCTGGAGGTGGCAGAGTTAAATATGCTAAGATTCTCTTTAGGAGTGACAAGAATGGACAGGATCAGGAATGAGGTCATTAGAGGGACAACACAGACAGGAAGGTTTGGAGAAAAAGCTAGAGAAGCCAGATTGAGATGGTTTGGACATGTGCAGAAGAAGGACAGTGGATACATTGGTAGAAGAATGTTAGAGATGGAGCTACCAGGTAGGAGAAAGAGAGGAAGGACAAAGAGGAGATATATGGATGCAGTGAGGGAGGACATGCAGATAGTTGGAGTCAGAGTAGAAGATACAGAGAACAGGGACAGATGGAAATCAATGATTTGCTGTGGCAACCCCTGAAAAAGGGACAAAGCCGAAAGAAAAAGAAGACTCAGTGCAGGGTTGGTGTTACGGTTGTCTGGGTTGGTGCTGGACACCAGTGGACCAGTGTAGCGTTAGCTCTGGCCTTCGTGTATTCATGGTTCTTTCAGGTGGTTGAATAAGTTAGCCGTGTTGCCCTGCGGTTGTTACCCTGATGCCCTGCGAGGCAGACACAGTTCTCTTTGTGTATCATTTATTTTTCTCACGTTATTCCATCTGAATCTAAGAAACCTCCAGACAGAAGATAGTAATCCATGACGAGGTACTAGCGCCTCCTCTCTTCCAATGCTGCGATACTGCCACCTTCTGCTCCCTACATTACCTCTCACCCTCACATTAGGTAGGGCCCGCTCACTTTCTATTTAGGCAGGTTCTGCACGCCCCCTGGTGGTTGGCTGTCTATTTCTATGA